CTGTATTTAAATCCAGGTAAGCTCTTTATTATTTCGCTGCACATGTGTCTGGCAGAGCACTTTTTTTGAAATTACCTGTCTACTTTAAAGTGTCAAAAAGCAAATAATAATAATAGGTATGCGGTGGTGTTGTAATCGTCTTTGACTTTGCACACGGAAGAGAGTGTGATGTTTACTTCTATGCAGTGTGAACTTATCCTAATTTTTCCCCATACACAGCGTTTCAAGTTCAATAGTAATTCTTTGGACCAATTTTTGAATGAATCCTCCCCAATGTGAGTTAAGACTAGGAACAATTTTCTACTCGGTTCCTTGCTAGATTTTAATTTCTCATCAACTCTCACAGCTACTAACACATACTCGATGACCTTATTGCCTCCCTTTGATGTATCAATTGGTAAACGCCAATCACCTTTCAATAGTGCCATTGCCAAGACCACTGTTGAGCGCCTCTACTGCAGGGAGTCAGATGCAAAATGGCAGCCGCTGAGGAACTACCCACCAAGTATGTGAAGTTGGCGAAAGCGCAGCTTCGTGAGGATCCCACGAACGTATCAGCACACGTTGAAGCCCTTCGACGCTGGCTGGCCTCCACGCCTCATCTTACATGCCCAGATGGTAGGTCTTCTAGCATGATACCCTTAAATAATAATGCTTATTTCTTGCTGAAATTTGTAGACAAAACAGTAATGAATCATCAATCCAATCTATACTTTCTGCTTTTAGCTTTTGCTCACGAATGGGATCGTTTCTGAATCTAATTCTTTCTAGAGTCATTTGTTTCGTAGATGAAGAATTTCTCGTTATGTTCCTGCGGCAAAGCAAGTACCTTCACGCAAAAGCGCAGGCTAGGTTGGATAACTTTTGTACCCTCTCCACCAAGAAGTTCATTGGTGATGTCATCTGGGGAACTCCACTTGACTTGAACTCGAATGCACTTGACAGTTATCTCAATGCAGGGTAATTTTTTTAGACCGATGTAACTTATCTGTCAACCGCTCATGAATGTTATTAGAAATATAAATGACACTTCTAGCCAGTACTTTGTGAGGTGTAGCAGAACTTTAAATTTTTATTTATTGCGTATTGACTTCATTTGGAATTAGCAGGAGCATGGTCTAGTCAGCATGTACGTTAAACAGGAAGTCTGAATTAATTTACTGCATATAATATCCCCTTTAAACCAACCAACTAGCATATTTGATCAAATTATAGCATGCACCTTCCTCTGGGCTACCTGAGAAACGGGAGAATGGGCGTATGGATTCGGCCAGGTAGCTCCGTTGTGTTTATTCTCATAATTTAGGTGCATGGAATCCCAACGTGTTGTCACTGGCGCAAATGATCTACTACGCCTACAAAGTTATTTACATGGTTGCTTTAGATCCGCGAACTATAATCGGTGGAACGGTAGTCCTTGTGGACTTCACTGGTAGCACCTCTAAACAGATCGTCAACGATCCGAATGAAATAAAATCGTGGAGCAGATTTTTACAGGTAAGAGATAGGAACAGCTCTATTTTGCTAAACTCTGAACTACATCTGACTTTGTGCGTCTTGAGTTTGCAATGCTTATTCGTGTACCCTGAATCGAGTGACTTTTTCTTATTTAAAATGCAGCTTTTCGGAAGTTTACACATATACAGGTAGTGTGGATAACCTCGGCACGAACGCGTATGCACGTTGGCGACACTTGAAATCAGCGATTGTCTGGGGGTGGCCGAACGGTAACGTACGGCTCCCCATGCTAGCTAGGAACATTTGATTAGCTGCTCGACAACTAACAGTCATATACTGTTATATGATGTAATGACAAGTCCTGAATTAGTCCAATTTACTCCTTTTAGGCAAGCATCCGTTTATTTAAAGGAATGGTTAACGAATCTCGTTTGATCCAGTATAAAAAGGACAATTTTCACTGAGAGGTCGTCTTCTCTTCAACACAGTAGATCCTTGCCGTGGATGCAAAAATAACAATCTTGTGCCTATTCCGTATAAAGTAGAGTAAATATTGGCCATTCACTGTGATATCTTGAGTTCTCAAAGAACTAAGTATATTTATTTGTTTAGGCGTTCCATCAAAACTCGGCTTGCGATGAATATTAATGCGCCAAAATCATAAAACTTTTCAATAGGGCAAAACATATCGTTTTGCTGTCTGAGTAAGACAATAAAAATAATTTTAGTAGTTCTTACATTTGCTTCTAAATCTTTTTCAAGTAATAGAAAGATATTTTTATTTTGATCACAGGAGGCTATACCGATGAGACCTCGTCGCATAATTTTCTACAATGAGGATAAACTTTCAGACACCGTGGAGAATATCATAATGTTCTACATGAAGGAAAAGATAAAACGCCGGGTAGTTTGCTTAGCCCCTACCACTGCTATCCATTGAATTTGATGCGTGCTCTGTCTAGAGGCTATAAATATGTATTTTGTGTGAATTAAATTAATAGATGTTCAAGTGCGGTCCGGATATTGCGAAAGTCTTTCAAGTTGAGCCCAACCTGAGACCTGCACTGCCATCAAATGTAGGGGGTGAAGGCAGACCCCTAAAAGATCTCATTCGTAAGTCAAAACCAACTATCACCCTTGCTTTATACTTGGTTAATCTGTCTAACGCCGATTAAGTAATCATGTATTCTACCCGACAAAGTTAATTCCGTGTACCATCAAGTAGAAATAGGCTTATGCATTTTTAGAGCGAATCCAATTGAAAGAGTACTCTTTCAGGTGTTAAAAAATCACAAATTAATATGAGTGCACCAAGTGACCACTTAGTTTCCCATCATATTTATTAAACTTGAGCATCAACATCAGGAATGTCACGCGGTTTTGATAATACAAATAACAATGTTGGTATGCTTTAGAGGCAAACAAGAGGCACTTCCTTGAATTTTACGGGAAAGGTGATCCAACAGGAACAATTAAGGTGGATGAATCGAAGAGGCCGATGTCGGCATGCGAATTTCTGCGTGCGTACAAAGATTACAACGCAGACGTCATGGGGAAGAGTGGGACTTATATCAAAGCAAATCAGGGTGAAATATAGTAAAGAACTCATTTGGCAAATAAAAAAAAACAAAAGCGTTGAAAAATAACTTGCGGGATCTGCGCTATGTAGCACTAGAGAGTTATGGACCTATGCTGGAAGTGACGACCGAGTCTTTCCTGAAGACGATGGGAGCCATGACACTAAGGCAGAGTATGTATTACTAATGTACAGTTGAAATTAATGGCTATGCGGCCTGGCAGAAGTGTAGAAGTGGAGTCTTAAGTGCCCACAAAGCCAAAACGACTACTTAAACAAGTAATTACACTGTTATACCCCCATTTAGTGACAAGGCATTTGGGGTGTGGATAAATAAAAATCAGCCAATGAGTAATTTGCCCCATTAAAACCGGCCGAAATAATATTTTGATGTAGTAGTTAAAATGGGTCAGTGATTACGTGGTGTCCCGAGACTTCCCTAAAGACGAAAGAAGACATAATACTCAGGCAGAATGTATATATTCGGCAACTGAGAAGATATACGGGCTACTGGCATGGCCCGAAGTCCAGCCCACCCGGCGTGGCACAAAGGCCAAGTCAAAAGCGGCTCCTCACCGAAGACGGGAGATAAACAATTATCGTATTACAAAATGCCTTAAATTATAGTTGATGAAAAAATTGTGAAGGCTGGTTAAATTAAAATGAATGTGTTATCAAAATATGCTGATTGTATCCTGTCAAGCGCTGCTTGCTATTATAATATTTAAATTTATATAATCGTCAGAATGTCTACAAGCTGTTATTTATGAAGGATTTTAGTTACAAAACTTTACTTTTATTTTCTCACTATTTTTTGAAGCTTAAACCTACAGCATAGATTTAAATCAGGTAGATTTAGAACAGCCCTTTAATGAAAGTCCTTACGATTTTAAGCAAACGCAACGGACAGCTTAATTTGCCAATTCGGTCAAATGTAAATACCCCTTGAAGTGTAAAAAACACAAGTCAGTGTTATCTCGGTGTAGAGTTTGCAATATAGAATAAAATGATAATTTTGTAAGCCTGTAATAGAGTAAAAGGATTAATTTGATGAGCGGAGCTCCTAGACACCTCCTTGAGGCAAAATGTTGATAAAACAATCTTTATGGTCATTAGTGGTAATGTAGCTACTTTACTCGCCTTAATTAGCTAAAAAGTAAAGTCACTATGTAAGTTTTAAAAAAATGTAATTTTGTCAATGAAAAGTCACAGTAAAAGATGACATATAAGATCCATATTATTCTGTTTTCGTCCTCCTCCTGGCACATTTTTTGGAAGGAGTAAAGGATTATTTAAAACTACCAATTTAGCATTCTTCACTTATTGTTGCTTAAAGATAACCCCAGATTGTTTTGACTGACTAGTCGGTGGGCTGTTCAGCAAAATGTAAAAGGGATCTTAGGTATTTAAATATAAATTTTCCAATGCCGGTTATTGAGATTCTGCAGGTGAAATGTGTTTCGGTGTGTGCGTGTATGTATTCTAAGCTAAAATTTCCCTTGTCATTCACATGCAGTCAAGTTACTCATCTTGTGGCGCCGCTAATCGAAACGCCATCCCATCTTCCAACGCCACACGAATCATGATTGTGGGTCGAGAGTAAGTCGGTGTTGTGCAGTGCCATGTTTACAAATCTCACCGATTCTATACAGGCGCTGCAAATTCACTGACAGCCAATGATGGAGTTGTTTACTTCGTCTACAAGGTCGTCTTGCAGACACGTTTATAAATGCAATCAATTTCTCGACCTCATTGGCAGCACTGGAGAGCAGATCATGAGGAGTTGCAATGACATTTCATCGATGGTGCAATGTAATCAGAGGTAGAGTGGGTCAGCAGCTTACTGGTATGCGAGAAAAGGAAAATTTTCCTAATTTGTAGAATAAAATACGACAACTGAATATTCGTGGACTCAGTGAACATAGCATTGCCATGGTGACACATAAGTGTCGACCCGACTTGGCTGCTTGAGTTCGGCGTAGCAAATGTGAGACGAAACATGGGTTCTCTGCCTAACTGCGATAACCGGTTGCACCAAATGGTGTAGTGAGTGGACTGGTTGGCGTTGAGGCAACGACGTGGGTTCGTTTTCGTTGGTGTTTTGAGCAGTGGTTCAGCAAATCAATGTGATGGTGCAGGCGTTGATGTTGTGGTGGGAGAATCTTGTCTGACTGGTAATGTCGTTTAATTCCCTCATGTGAGGTTCTGGTTGAGATTCAACGTGGACGTGTTGGTACAAACAGTGGTCCTATCAGCAGTAGAAATCGGGAATGAGTGGTCTGAATAACGGGTTCAAATGGTAGCATATGTTCATTATTATTGGTGACACAATGAGGAGGTGTTTAAGAGGTGCTGAATGAAAAGTTTTGTAGACACTCGCAATTGTGGAAGGTGGTCCATTCTACTGAAATAATTCAGTAGCAACAGCCTGTTGCGTGGATGATAGCTTTGCATGTTGCTAGAACAAAGCAAATGCATTTACAAGAAAGAACAGACAAGATTAGATAAGTTTTGTCTTATTTTTGGCTAAAAAAGCTTCAAAGGCACCACATGGCGTACATCAACAGTATTTTATGTATTAATGCCTACTAATTTATCAGTCTTTACTTTTTCTGCGTTGTTTAAACTCGTTGCCTTTGGTATGTTATTGACTGACTGATTTACTGACATGTGATGAAGATTACTTTTGCATTTCGAATATTTTATTGCTACTCCCCAAGTGACCCACTCACTCCACACTCCAAACTTCTACGCCACCACTTCGTCTGCAGGAGACTATTCTTTTGCCTGTACAAACTTCCCTTTTAACAAGTTTTGGCAGGAAGC